TGTTTAGACATTTCGGTTTTAAAGCTATTTAAGTCCACTTTCGTTTGATAACAAACTTGTTTAATTTGGATAGGCGGTTTGTTTATTGTCCGGAAGGGACTTTTAGTTGGGAATAAAAAATATTTGGCCAAGTTTAACTCGTAAAGAAAATAACTGTTACTTTCGGTCCCTTCAATATTCGCATTCGCAAAAGACCCGCATTGATTATTGCGAATGCGAAAGCGAATGCGAATGTTAAAATTTACGCGGAAGCTCCGCGGTTGCGAATGCGAATGCGAATATTCGCAACAACCCTGGTGAGTACATTTACGAATTTGGAGAAAGAAATCATATGTCATCATGCACTTCGTTTATTATATACTTTAAAAATCTTATCTACATCCGTTCAATAGCGTGGTCAAAATATCTCGCCCTTCCTTTATACTAGGGACCGGCAGCAGAACACCCCGATCGCAGCAGCGCGGGCAAGCAGGTGCGTGATGCGGGGCAAAAACTTCAAACCGAAAGGGTAAGCAACAGGGATGGAAAATAAATTTTTCAAATTGTACCTATTTGTACCTAGTTCTATCTAAAAGTAAATAAATCTACCTAAAATGGTTTTTATAAGTATGAATTCTTTCCTAGTAGGAGGAAACTTTTTCCTTCAATGCCATATCAACTTTTGGAATAACATTAAATAAATTTGGGTATAAAAATTACGTAGGGAGAAATATCTTCGAGCAGCTCGAGACAAAACAATGTTTTAAAAAAGGTTAATCACTTTACTTTTTATCTGAAACTAACAAAGGGTTTCATGAAAAGTTATGTGGTTACGTTGCAGATGTACCTTAAATGGTGTGCTTGGTGTGTATAAAGTTTATACTATGTATAGAAGATAGTAATTTTAAATAGGTGGCAACCCTACTCAAAAAATTAAAGTTTTTGTTCATGCGAAGGCCATGCACTTTCATTTGGTATCTAATTTTTTTATACAACGAACGGTGAATATCTTATTGTTTTTAAACAGGTGGCAACCCTACTCAGAAAAATAATACATTATTACACATCTAGAGGCTAAGTCTTTTCATTTGACAGTGACGGCGCAGAACGGACGCCTACGCTTATAAGGATTGAATATAGTAATTTTCTTAACAGGTGGCAGCCCTTTCAAAACATAAGACATTCGTGATTTTCTAGAGACCAATCGCTTTCATTTGACACCTCAGTTTTTGAAATCTAACGAACGGTGCGGATCTTATATTTTTTTTAAACAGGTGGCGACCCTATTAAAATTCTAAATAAAAAATGTTACTCTCCTATCGATACGGAGTATATTACAAAAATCTCGTCAAAATCCGTTCAGTAGTTTTCGAGATTACCACTTACAAAGAAACAGTTTCTAAAAGTTAAATTAAATCAAAAAAATTTTTTCCTTTTTAAAACGATAAAATCTAAAAAGTAAATACAAAACAAAAATATTAATAAAAAAACATAATACTAAATAAAACAAGTTTCTGAAAATTAAACCAGAAAAAATAATAAATAAATGAGAAATACAATTTTCCTGCCCGAGGACTCGAGCTTGGATATTTCGAATGGCACGCCAGTGATTTGCTCACTCAGCCATTGCGACTGTTCAGGCAGCGCGCGCAAAATGATATATGTAAATACCTATTTTTAATCGACTTCACAAAAAGGAGAAGGTTATCGATTTGTCACATATTTATACATACATATTTATTTTCTTTGGTTTTTTTATGTAAGTAATACTATGTTACCGCATAAATTTGGACCACGTCAACCCTTACTTCACAGGTGGTCCCATAGTAATTTGGTTAAAATCCGATCATTGGATCATGAAGACTTTTACGATAATCTTAAATCTTTATATGAGATTTGAAGTCGGGTTTTTTTTTTGTTGCTTAAGAATTAGTTGTTATATTCGATTTCAAACTGAATGAAAAAAGTGAATGAAGCCACAAAAAAAGGGCCGCAACTGGGGCCACACTTAAATTTTACATCAACTACTGAGCCCTTATCTATTATATTTTCGAAAATTGTTTACATCAACAGCGTTGCCGTAGCCGAATTGGTTGAGGTGTAACCTTCGCTCCGACCCAGATTTATATCTGGCCAAGGGCTATCACTACAGCGACACTCCCCGAAAGCACTTTGGGGAAATTGTATGCTGTTAAAAAAAAAACAACAACCGGTGCGACCTTCCTCTTTGTACGACCAAGGTTCGATCCCTAGTCAGAGCAACATAAAAAAAAATCGAATAGCGTTCATCCCTCAGTACGCAATGGCAAACCTACAAGTATATTTCTGTCACGAAAAAACGTTTGCCGTTCGGAGGCGTCGCACAATGGGGCAGAACGACCCTATTGGTGGCAATAAATCGAAAAATGAAACTGCCCGTATGGGGCCATTGTTATTTTATTTTAATAGTCAAATACCCCACTGTTAACACTGTAAAAGTTTTAAACCGTTATCATAAACACATTTTGCATGATAAACATCGGCGCAAGCCATTCTTGTTCACAGATTAGCTTGAGTTTGGTGTGAAGAAATTTGTAAAGTGTTTTTAATTAAATAAAAAAAATAGAAATCATAAAATATTAAAGTTTTTGGTATGGAGCCTTCAAGTTCTGGTAAATGTTAATCTATTTAAGATCTTTTTTTGTGAGAAAGTGCTTTAAATTATATAAAACGGTAATTATCATAAAAAAACTTTAAAATTACTTTTTTTTTGCTTCTTTGTGCAAACATTGATCGGTTTAGTTGTGTTCCCAAGCAGTCCCAAGAACAATTTTTGTTGTTATTGATAGCATGTCTTAACTTAATTAAGGAACTGCAAGAAAATTCTGCGGTTTTTTGTGGTTTTGATAAAAAAGCTTCTTTACAAAATGTGCTTTCTGACAAAAAAATGTGCTTTCTGACAAAAAAAAAATTGTAAGAATTTCTAATATTTGTTTTATCCTTTAGGTACTAGTTCAAACACAATTTTTATAACCCGGAGGGAGCTTGTCAACATAATGTGGTCAGTTGAAAATATTAATTTACAAGGGCGATTTGTGTTTCTGGAAGAAGAGTTTAAAAAACGAACAGGAAACTTGGATAACATAGGTTTAACTAAAACACTTTCTCGATTCAAATCTGAGTATAAAACTCGTTTTGAAAAGGCTTTTCGAAAATTAGAGACGTTTTTTAAAACAAATAATTCATGGCTTGAGACATCTGTTTCTTTTCTTTGTTGCCCTGAAGAAAAGCTTAAGCGTGGTCGACCAAGTGTTTCATTCGATGAAAGTAGTGAACGTACAAAAAGAATGAAAACAGAAAAACTAAGAGAGTCTACATCGATTTCTATGTTGAGTTTTGCTACTCAAATGAGCTTGAGAGCAGTGGGACAGGTTAGTGCTTCTAAAGTGTTAAAGGATATAACAACAACTACCCCTGACCGAGCAAAAAAATATCGGAAGTCATATAAGGATTCACTGGAACCCAAAAGTTGTAAAATATCAGGCCAAGAAGCACTAGGGGTTGCAGTTGAAGCGCAACTATCTCGACATCAATACAATGTTATCAGAATGAGTGCACCAAAAAAATTTCCTGCATATAAGGTCCTACAACCAGCAAAACAAAAATGTTATCCACCCCCCGAATGCATCGAAGTTAGCGAAACTTTAGTAAAGGTTACCCTTCAGGCACTACTAGATTTAACCACAAAGCGTTTGTTGGAATCACATGGAAGTAATTGGTGTGTTAACAACATTTGAAACGGAAAATCTGAGCTTGTTTTGCAAGTGGGGCTTTGATGGAAATTCGGGACACAGCTCCTACAAACAAGCTTTCCATGGCCTTGAAGCAACTGATTCTTCGGTCTTCATTACTTGTGTTGTTCCTCTTAGACTTTCTTTCAGTTCTAGGGTTGTATGGCAAAATCCACGTCCAGGTTCTACAAGATACTGTAGGCCATTAAAAATAGAGTTTGTAAAGGAATCTACACAAATGTCTATTGCAGAAAAGAATAGAGTTGAAAATGAGGTGAAAAATTTGCGAAAGACAACAATGTTAATTGAAGAAAGAGAAGTACAAGTCAATCATACTCTACTTTTTACAATGATTGACGGCAAAGTCTGTAATGCTATTACGGAAACGTCATCAACACAAAAGTGTTTCATATGTGGTGCGTCATCTAGAAGCTTTAATGATATAGATAGTATGTTGACAAGGGAAGTTAAAACAGAAAACTTAGAGTTTGGACTGTCCGTTCTTCATGGATGGATAAGGTTTTTCGAAAATTTACTTCACTTAGCCTACAAATTGCCTCTTAAGAAATGGCAAGCTCGAGGGGATGATGACAAGATAGTTGTTGCTGAAAACAAAAAAAGGATACAAAAAGAGTTTAAAGATCGTTGTGGTTTGATAATAGACAAACCAAAGCGCGGATTCGGGAACTCGAATGATGGCAATACAGCCAGGCGTTTCTTTCAAAATCCTGAAATTTC